ACAGGTGGGAGGAACTTTGGGGGAGGCGTGGGGCATCACGGGGGCAGCACAGACAGGGAGAGGTGGGAGGAGCTTTGGGAAAGGCTGGGGGCCTCAAGGGGGCAGATGTTTGGTTGGGAGAGGTGGGAGGAGCTTTGGAGGTGGCCAGGGGGACTCAAAGGGGAAGGGCAGGGCAGGTTGGGCGAGGTGGGAGGAGCTTTGCAGAGACCTGGGGGCTCAGGGGTGCAGGCAGACAGAGTAGGGGGAGGACACTTAGACTCTGCCAGATGATCATCCCTACGCAGGTGCAGTGACCCACACGCTCTCCACGGCACTGCTGGTATTTGAGCTGACGGGGCAGATGTCGCACGTGCTGCCAGTGCTCATTGCGGTCCTGGTGGCCAATGCCCTGAGCCAGCGCTGCCAGCCCTCTTTCTTCGATGGCATCATCATCGTCAAGAAGCTGCCCTACCTTCCCAAGCTCAGCGTGGGCAAGAGCGGGTCAGCCAGGGGACTCCCGCTGGGGAGTGGCAACCCAGGCACCTGGGTTCTCTCCCTGGCTCTAGGGGCATGGGTGGGGTGGCGGCTGGTGGGTTAGAGGAGGGAGCGTGGGAGCCAGGACTCCTGGGTTCTTCTCTCCCCGGCTCTGGAGGGGCATGGGGGCTGGTGGTTAGAGCAGGGGGGCTGGTAGCCAAGACGCCTGGGTTCTCTCCCCAGCTCGGGTGGAGGGACTGGTGGATTACAGCAGGAGGCTGGGAGCCAGAACTCCTGGGTTCTTTCCCTGGCCTTACTCCCCTCTGCCCCTGCTGCAGGGCCCATGACATCTACGCAGAGGATTTTATGGTCACAGATCTCAAATTCCTGCCCCGGGACTGCAGGTACAAGGATGTGCGGGGCCTGCTCAAGAGCTCTGGCCTTAAACAGTTCCCCCTGGTGGACACCCAAGGTAAGTGCAGACTATGCCCCCTGGTCCCACCCCCCAACAAGCCAGCCAGCCCCTGTGCTGGAGCTGCGTGGGAGCCAGCACCCCATAGAGGGGACAGGCAAGTGTGATGTAGTGGGGGATCTGTGGGTTGCCTGCAGGGGGGCGCTCAGTGTCCAGTTTAACGCGGTAAGTAGAGGAGTTTGTTGTTATACAGGGACAAGCACAGAACTGAAGACCCCAGCGACTGGTGACCTGGTCACCCACTGGGGGCCCTCTCCCTACAACCCATTGGCCTCCCATTGACCAGAACTGGCTGTGCTGCCCAAGCTGGGTCTCCCAGTCACTGGCCTTCAGTTCTGTGCTGGTCCATGTAACATCAAACTCCTCCTCCTCCTCTTGTTGTTAAACCACTGAGTATGCCCCATGCAAAACCCACAAATCCCCTACTTTGTCACACCCCATACCCCATTCCCCACCCCCTGTTCTTGTTTACAGAGTCCAGGATCTTGCTGGGCTCCATCCGGAGGAAACACCTGGCCAAGCTGCTATCAGAGCAGCTGAGCACGGAGAAGCGATTCCAGTATTTGCTCCACCAGTCTGAGGTCAGCAGCATCGCAGAGCCTGTGAGTGCAACTGGCTGCCCTGTCCCAGAGGTGGCTGAATCTCAGTGTTAGGAGCGGGATCCTTGTGTAACCTGTCACCCTACCCCAGAATTGGCCGCATCTCAGCACTGGGCAAAAGGTCCCTGTGTAACCAGCCACCATGCCCCAGGGGTGGCTGCATTTCAGCACTACACAAAGTGCCATGGATTTGAGTCTGGAATTGTTTCCATTCCAGCTTCTAGGTGAGGATGGAGCTTTGGGGAGCCCAGAGGAGAAGCCAGGTGAGAGGCCAGGCACATAGGTTCCAGGAAGGGAACAGTTTAGGATTTTTGTGCATAGGGGGATCAATCTGGCCTTCCCCTCGCTGTGTCTGTCTCTTTTGCAGAAATGCCAAGGGCTGTGACCAAGCAGGGCGATGGACAGTCATTGAAGGAGGAGGTGATGACAGAGTCAGGGGGCTGGGAAGGTGTCCAGTGAGGGGGCCCTCCTTTGAGAGGGTGCAGGTGGGATGGGGTATTTGGCCTCTTGGATTGATTGCTCTTGTGTGAGGGATGGAAGAGAGTGGAGGGGATTGTGGGGACAAGTAAGGAGAGGCCTGTGGATTGCAGCTGTGGGACTGGGGGGCTGGGAAGGCTGTAGCACTCCCATCACACAGTGAAACCATGGGAGCTGATCCATGTCTCCCCCACACCCTGCAGGAGCAAAGTGCCCAGCTGTCTGTCAAGATGAAAGATGTCCGTCACTTGGTACGTTGCGGGTGGAGCAACCTGTCTGTGGGGACCCCCACCAAGTACCTTGGATGGGGGATGTGACCCCGCCAAGCCCACCCCTCCCGCTGTCTGCAGGACAATGGAAGAGATGGGGGTTTCAAATCTCCCCCCAGACTATCAGGGTGTGGACTCGAGGGACCCCCGAATATCAGGGTTTCAGAGTAGGGGGAACCCAAGTATTGGGGGCTGTATTCAGGGGACCCCAGAGTATTGGGGTCCAGATTGGTGGGAACAAAGAGTATCAGGGTTTGGAATGGGGGGCAGTTTCCCACCCCATATGCTTCTTGGGGTGTTCCCAGCATGATTTGTCCCATCTGCTAGCACAAAGGATGCTGGAAGGCAATTGATGATGCTGGAGCATAGCTGGTGTTCCCAGAATCCTTTGCATTGGAGCATGGCCAAAGTTCCCAGCATGCTTTGCCCCACTGCTTAGTGAGCCTAGTGCAAAGTATTCTGGGAGATCCCCTGAGGGGCAGATATTTCCCAGCATGCTTGGTGGGACTGGCACAAAGGACTCTGGGAGGGTGGGGTGGATATTTCCCAGCATGCTGTGTGCCCCGACTGCAGGTGGAGGAGTGGGAATGCCAGCAGCTGCAGGGGCTGGTCCGGTTGGAGGAGCTACCCATCGACCCAGCCCCCTACCGGTTGCTGGAGAAAGAAACACTCTATCAGGTGGGTGCCCTTGCCTGGCGTGTCCTCCCAGCATTCTTTGCATGGTGGGCATAGGCTCCTGTGGGGGTGGCTGGTGTTCCCAGAAAACTTTGCAGTGATACAAATGGTTCTGGGACTGGGAGCATGGGAGGGATAGAACTGGGAAGGCCATCCCAAACCCATTAGTATTGGTGCCAGCTTCAGCCAGGCACGGAATAGGTAGGGTAGACCTGAGCAGATCTCACATTTGCATGAATCTGTATATGAATAGGACTGTTGTTGGCATATGCTGCACACTTGGGCTATGTCTACACTAGTATGGCCATTCTTGTGCAAGAATCCGCAAAGCATCCACACTGCCCGCCCTCTCTTGCACAAGGAAATTTACAGTACGGCGTGGTAAGAGAGGCCTTCTTGCACAAGAGCTACGCTCTTTTTTAACTGGTGTAAGCCCTCTTGCGCAGCAGCTCTTGCGCAAGAGGGCAGTGCGGATTCTCGGCCAGGATTTCTTGCGCAAGAAAGCCCTATGGCTAAAATGGCCATCAGAGCTTTCTTGCTCAAGAGAGTGTCCACACTGCCATGAGCGCTCTTGCGCAAAAGCACAGCTCGCACATGGTAGTGTGGATGTTTTCTTCCACAAGACTTCTTACACAAGAACCCCTGCGCAAAATGTTCTTGCACAAGAAGCTGCCAGTGTAGACATAGCCCTTGGGAAGAGCAATTAGCATTTATGGGGGGAAGGACAATTAAATATTCAAATCCATCTGCAGGTCATTTGCTTTCATACCTCAATATACTTAATCTTTGGAAGTAATGCCTTATGTATGTTGATAAGAATTTGCATATGCAATTAGAGAAGGGAGGAGATGTGAGTGAATTTACATATACAATTAGGGTGGAATGGGAATGACGTGTTAATTTGCATATGCACACAGGGTGGGAGGAGTTAGATAATCAATTTGCATATGCAATCAGGTCGGGAGGGGCTGGCACATTGATTTGCATATGCAATTATGGTGGAGAAGCTGACAAGTCAATTTGCATATGAAATCACTGGGATCTTTGTGAATTTGCATATACAATTAGGGAAGGAAGGGCTGACATCCATTTGTGCATGCAATTAGGGTGGGAGAAGGTGGCAGGTCTATTTGCATATTACATTTGGTGGTGGATCTTGGTAAATTTGCATAGTCAATCAGGTGGGAGGGTCTGCATGTCAGTTTGCAAATGCCAGAAGGAGGAGAAATGGGCATACAGAGTTAGGGTGGGAGGCAGTGTTCCCACTAACATTTTCTATCCTTGGGCTAGCTGAAATTTCTTTTGTTCAACACCAATATTGAGATAGTATGTGGATATGCACCACCAATAAAAGCAAAAAAACACACATTTTAGATGGATGGATGTAGAAGCCACAGAACAAATTAACACATTGCTTCAGGGTTTGAAGACAGATGCATGTTTCAAAGAGCTTGCAAATAAGGCTTCATCCTACAAAACAACTAGCATCCCACCTAGTACTTGCTACTTCTGACTCATAAGAGCCAGAACTCTTATGCAAGTCAATTTGCATATGAAATCACTGGGATCTTTGTGAATTTGCATATACAATTAGGGAAGGAAGGGCTGACATCCATTTGTGCATGCAGTTAGGGTGGGAGAAGATGGCAGGTATATTTGCATATTAAATTTGGTGGTGGATCTTAGTAAATTTGCATAGTCAATCAGGTGGGAGGGTCTGGCATGTCAGTTTGCATATGCAATCAGGATGGGAAGATGCAATCTTCCAGAACTCTCCCACATAGCAAAGATCTGGCCTTAATGCAATACAATTTTTCATGTATTAATTAGCAACACAGGATTTAAAAAAATAATTAAATTCAGAGTTTTAGATATATGCAACACTTATAAAATATTTTAATAGATTTTTTTATTCTTACCTTAAGCCATTAACACCTAGGTAAACTTTGTTTGAAATGTACTCATGCGGCTGCATCTAGACTGGCAAGTTTTTCCGCAAAAGCAGTTGCTTTTGCGCAAAAACTTGCCAGCTGTCTACACTGGCTGCTTGATTTTGCGCAAAAGCACTGATGTTCTACTGTCCGAAATCAGTGCTTCTTGCGCAAATGCTTTGACGTTCCCGTTCGGGCAAAAGCCCTTTTCCAGAAATGTTTTTGTGCAAGAGGGCCAGTGTAGACAGCTAAAAACTGTTTTGCACAAAAAAGCCCCTTTGGCGAAAATGGCGATCGGGGCTTTCTTGTGCAAAACCACATATAGATTGGCATGGACGCTTTTCCACAAAAAGTGCTTTTGCGGAAAAGTGTCCGTGCCAATCTAGACGCTCTTTTCCGCAAATGCTTTTAACGGAAAAACGTTTCCGTTAATAGCATTTGCAGAAAATCATGCCAGTCTAGACATAGCCATGCAAGTATTCTGGTACAAACACTCATCTTATGCAGCCAGCCCCATATCTCCTTTCTCAGGAGGCTTGAGAGTGCTGAGTTCCTGCCTTTCTCTCCTGGGGTGGATTGGACTCTCCAAACTTTCCTCTGCTCTGACTCCACCTCAGCCAATTTTATCTGGCTTGTCACCCTGCTACAGCAAGGAAAGCCTCCAGGGGGCATGCTCTTGTTCCTCGGGTGCAACTCTCTTCTCTCTCCATCACCCCCCCCCCCCCCCCCCCCGCTCCCCCCCCCCCCCCCCCCCCAGTCACTTATTGTCTCCTTATCTCACTTTTTATTACCTGCTCTGGGAGCTGCTCCATTTCAAGCATGGAGCAGCCCAGTTTAACTGTTTGCTCAGCAAGATGACATATTTCCCCTGCCGGTCAGCTGAGCTTCTTGCCTGCATGAGAGCTTTAAACTTCTGAGCAGAGCTCAGAAAACAGCTATGCCATCATGCAGCCATGCAGCTTACTGGAAACTTAGGTGGGAGGGGTTGTGCATTTGCATATGCAAATGAGCACTGTCTGCACATTTGAGTTGCTTGCTCATTTGCATATGAACAGTATAAGTGGAGACTTATTTGCATACTCAATAAGCAATACTCATTTGCATGTCATTTTGGTCCTCTCCCCCCTGCCCCCCTCCCCATCACTGAGGTACAGGGAGCCACTGGGCCCTGAATCTCCATCCGCAGCCAGACATGACTCTCCGCCAGCAGGTAGAACAGATAATGTATTAGTTCACAGGGACACATTGTAAAACAGACTTGTTACCCCAGGAACCAGAAGCAGCCAATACAATTTGTCTTAGGGAGAGGGAGGCCCAGAGCCAGGGCCCTGGGTCCCCTCCCTATCTCTTAAGCCGGCAGAGACTAATTCACACACTTAGCTACTGGTCCCTGCCTTACTGGCAGTCCCACTTCCTCCTTTGTCCAGCTTCTCAGGCAAAAGGTGTCCCCTGTTTTCACCTCATGTTCCAGGGACTCTTGGCCATTGTGAATGTGCTTGCCTGGGCAGCCTGGGGCAGCCTCCCCTCAGTGAGAGTCACACCCAAAATTCCCATCTCCATCGGGGCACTGGTGCAGTGCCTAGAGAAACTGAAGCATGCACACACAGAGTTACTACAGAACAGTACAGGACAATGGAAATCACATGCAACATAACAAAGTGAACAGAGCGAATAGAATCCCCACATTGTCACCCCCTGATAATGTGCCACCTGCTGCCAAGAGCCCCCCCCCCCAGCCCCACTGTCCTGCAGTCTCAGTGAGGGCTGATCCCTAACCCTACCCTATTTTGATCCATCCTCCCCTCCTCAGTTTGTCTCCTGACATGCACACACCCATTTCTGCTCCACAGTGTTATGACCTCTTTAACCTGCTGGGACTGCGGACAGCATACGTCACCAACATGGGCCAGCTGGTTGGTGTGGTCAGCCTCCGAGAGGTAGGGCTGAAGGGTGGGAGGCACAGGGGGGCATGGGGTGGGGAGCACAGGGCTGTTGCATGGATCCTGGAGAGGTCAGGGAGCTCATGAGGAACATAGGGGGCAGGTTGCAGGGTCTACTGGGTCAGGGAGAGTCTTTGGGGTTCAAGAAATTCAAGGAAGGAGCCGGGGCAGCAGGTGGGGGTTATGGGAAATGAGGGGGTTCAGGGATTTGGGGGCTGAGAGGTGATGGTGTGGGGTGTGTCCCTGACGTGCTGCCTCTGTCCCCCAACCAGCTCAAAGCCGCTGTGGAGGGATCAGTCAAGGGCACTTTCGCCAAGCGCCAGCCCCATGATGAGGGGCAAGTCGAAGGAGACCCCGATCCCAATGGATCCTCAGCCTAGCAGGGACTGGAACATGCGGCCTACTCCTGATTCCACATTCCTCTGGAGCCCATGGGGGACAGGGCAGGGGGAGCTACCACTTAGCCCCTCTCTGTTTCTCTTGCACTCCAGCTATAATAGCCCTGGCCATTCCAGCAACCCCTAAATTATTAAACCTCCATTTTCTGCCCTCACTGAATAATGTGAGTAACTTTTGGCAGCTCCACTCAAAATCACCCAGTAAAGATCCAGTTACATTTTTTGTCGGTGTTTATTATTCCTCCTTTCTACATCTTTCTAGGGGGCTGGACGGTTAGAGCTGTGGGCTTGGGAGCCAGTACTCCTGGGTTTTCTGTCCAGCTCTGAGTGGGGAGTGGAGGCTGGTGGGTAGAACAGGGAGGCAGACTCCTGGGTTCTCTCTCCTGAATGTGGAGATGTGATGTAACAAGCTAGTTGATTCTGCAAGCAGGCAAAGAGACTCCAGCCACAGTCATGATGAAACTCATGGTCATCGTGGTGCCTGGATGTGAGATGATGCCATCATGTTCCTACACAATGACAACATGGTCTTGTGTTGTCACAGGTGCACTGTGGGATGATGTTTTTCCGTTGATGATATCGTAGGGTAGATGTAACCTCTCAGCATTGTGTTTGACATCAGGGCCTTCTGCTGTTGATATGCTGGAAGCTGTGTTTGGTCACTGGACACCCCAGTGACTTTGTGGCTGCATTTGGTGACATCATAGTCTCACATTGCAGCATAATGCCACAATATCATCATGCACCATCAGGAGTGGCCAGGAGGAGTATGTGGGGCTATGGTAGACTGAGGAATAACTCAGTGTCCTGAGATAGTGACCTAGGCAGCGGGGCCAGGTGGTGGCACTTTTTACTGATAGGGTTGCCAGGTGTCCGGTATTGACACGGACCGTCCGGTATTTTCACCTCCTGTCCAGTAAAAAAATTCAGAAAATACCAGACACCTAAAATGTCTGGTATTTTCTGATTTTTTTTCCCGGCCAGAAGGCGAAAATCCCAGGTGCTTACCAGGTTCCGCAGGGGAGCTGTCCGGCCCGGAGCAGGAAGACAAGATGGTGGGTGGCCGCCAGCAGCCTATTAGGGCCAAAAAGCCTCAAAAGAATTTCTTAAAGGGGTCACACTTTTTTTTTTCCTCAACAACTTTGGTCTCCCCCGGTTTTTTTCCTCAAGGGTTTTTTTTTTTTGGGGGGGGGGGGTTTCAGTATTTTTTGTTAAGCCATCTGGTAACCCTATTTACTGAGGCAGCGTGACACAATGGCAGCTGCTGAGATAGTGACAACACAGGGCTGGGGTTGACATCGCAAGGTGACACAAGGACATCACACTGCCTTCTGGAGTGAAGCAATGACATGATGCAGATGAGATCACAGGGCAGGACAGTGACAGCAGAAAGCCATGTGATGACATCACGTGAGATTGATGATGTCATAGGGCTCGTAGTGACATCACATGGACACAGTGTGTGACAATTGCAACACAGGTCTCGGTGGTAAAGCCGACTGGTGACCTCACAGTTCGGGAGAGTGGTGACGTCACCGTCTTCTAAGGAGGGGGTCCATCGTTTTGTGAAGGGATCGTCACGTGACCCGAACGCGTGACCTGGGTAGTACGTCGGGCCAAGGCCGTCGTCCGTCACGTGACGCCGTGGCGCGGGGGCTGCTTTAGCCTCCCTGCGCAGGACTATGGTGGCGCCGGGAGGGGGTGGGGAAGAAGAGATACGCGCGCGGCCATAGCGAAGCGCGGGGTCACGCGAGCCGGGCGGCAATTTGGCTTCTCCCCTGTCATGTGGCTCCCGCGCTTCCCCCTCCTCTGCGGGCTCCACCCCATCACGTGACTCCCTCCTCCTGCGGCCGAGCTCCTGTGTCACGTGGGCCCTTGAGCTCCCCCTCCGCGTTCCCTCGTCACGTGACGGGGCTCCGTGCCGCCATCTTGGTACAAACACAAACAAGCGGCGATAGGCGGCGGCGGCGGCGAGAGACCCGGAGTCCCCCCCCCAACCTGCACAGCCCCCCTAGCCTG